AGAGAGAGAAATGTTAAAAAGCAATAAAATGACGTTCAGTCAGTTCCCACAGGTGCCCGCTGCTGGTGCCAGGGAAGTTGGGCTCCTTCCAAGAGGGGCCATGGCTCACAGCTGGCACAGCCCCGGCCCCGGGCTGTAAATCCAGCCCAACATCTCCATCACCGCTTCACCGTGCCCTCAACCTTTCGCTTTCTAGTTCAGCCTCATTCAGAACAACACCCCAAGGAGCAGCCCGTCCCCCTTCCCTGCCCAGGTAAATCCAGACTGTGTCACATTTCAGCTGCACATTTTTCCAGCCATGCTGATTTTTCCCATCTCCAGCCCATATAAATTAATGATGGAGGTGCTGTTCTCACTGACAGAAGCCTGTGGCTCTATTCCCACAGATTCACTGCAAAGATGCACTCCTGAAACCCTGGGGTCTGCCTGGTAACTCATCTCCACCCTCTAACAAATAACTGCAATTGCATTTACAGGAATAACTGATGCAGGTGAAATGCACAAATTCAGGTAACAGGGACCTTTTGCCACTGCTTGAAGGGCTCTTCCTCCTCCCCTGCTCCATAAAATGGATTAAAACTTCCCATACAAGTATTTTATAAGCCAGACCCTTCACTTACCTCCCCTGCATCAGGACCAGTACTTTGTGGAAAGCCACCTCTGTGGCTTTTGTCACCTGTAGAGTCAGAACACAATAAAAACTTTTTTTTTTTTTAAGGTAAAAATGCATTTTTTGAGTAGAAGTCTCCCCACCAGCCTGGCAAAGCAGACTGGAGAGTTTCCATCTCATGGAGAGTACACTGCTTCCAGTTTCCTGAAACATGGAGAAAATAAAATACAGCAAAAGAAGTTTAAAATCAACAGCTCTCATCATCTCAGCACATTTTCAGCCAAATTCTCTTTGCTACTTACACAAGAGGTGGAACCTGCACAGCTTCACTCTTTGGGGCATCAGCAAACTGCTCCCACTGCACTGTAAAAATAACCTTCAAATCATTCCCAGGCTAGCAGGAATCACAAGAGGAGTCTGTCACAGATTAAATATTATTATATTGACCCTGGATTCCAGCTTCATCACACCTTAAAATAAGCAGCTCCACATACTTTTAAACATTCAGGTTATTTTTTAAATAACTTTGGTATGAATATACTTTATTCCCAGTTTGACTACACAGTTCTTCACAATCACAGGCCAAGTGCTCAGTGTGCAGCACTTACAAGGCTGTTAAATCTGCATTTTGTGGTTTTCACCTGGAGGTAAGAAGAAACACTTCAAAACCCAGCAACAGCTGGCACTGCCACACGTGTGTGTGCAGCAGGAGCAAAAATCAAGACATTTTCAGTTACTTTGATGGTGGGGACGGAAACCAGGAGGAACGAGAGATGGAAACAACCCCGGAAATCAGCTTGTCCATCTCCCTGCCAATGGAAAACTGAGAACAAGCAATACTCCACAGCTGCTCTGGCCACTCCCTTTAGGATCAGCCAAACTGCCCCTCCGAACCATCTGGGGTGAGAGGTTGGTTTTGGCTACTGTATTCCTGAATTAGGCCCTCCCTCATTCCCTGCAGCTCCCTCAGAGGGTCTGGCATGTGGCAGCCATCACCTGTTTAGCCAATTCCCTTCCTGAGAAGGTTCATTCCCAGCCAATCCTTTTTTCCTGCCTGCTCAGAGCCTTTCCCAAGGTCAGTGTGGTCCAGCACCTTCTGCACCTGGCTTTTCCCCAACACACTGCTCAGGAGAGATCTCAGAACCTGCTGAAGCTTTGGGGCAGCTTTTTTTCCTTATAGCAAGGCTGGAACCCTTCCTTTATCTCTCTGGAGACCAGGAGAGGACACATCCCACCCAGCAGTCAGGGGAAAAAGACAAGATGCTCTCAGTGAGCAGGCAGAGGGGAATGCCCCTGACACCAGAACAATCCTCTCCCTTGATGGGACAGCAGAGCACATCTCAACAGGAGATTCCCTGCTGCAGAGCCAGGGAAAGAACCCGAGCCCAGACTGATTTAACAGGACCGAGCTGGTCTGGCTGGGCCAGCTCAGGAGCAGCCAGAGAGCTGGGGCAGGCTCATTGCAGTTAACTTCTTGTCACCGGAGCACCTGGGCTGCCGAGGGCCCAGCAGGGTGCAGGGCTCTGTCACCAGGGCAGGGAGGTGACACAGGACGGCAGCACCTTCCTCAGCAGCCTGACAGGCCAGGAGAGTTTGCAGCAGCCATCCCTGCCCAGGCAGGGCCAGCGGGACGGGAGCTCCTGGCGCAGCCACGGCTCGCCCTGCAGGCCGTGCTCCCAGAGGCAGCACCTGTGTCACGCAGACACCGGACACAGTCTCTCCAAGAAGTCAGCTCTCTTGTGCTCCAGGGCCTGCAGGAAGCCCTGGATCCTCTCCTCCCTCAGGGCCGTGCACTTCTGCAGCAGCGAGCGGCGGCGCCGCGAGTCTCCGTGGGACAGGCAGCCCTCCTGCTGCAGCCTCCTGCTCACGTACGCCTGGTCCCTCTCCAGCTGCTGCCGCCTCCTCTCCTCCAGGTAGGAGTCTCTGGCCTTCTGGAGGGAAAAGCACGAGTGTCAGCACCTTAGCTCACCTGTGGGACAGGGCACAAACAGCCTCTGCTTGGCTGTGGAGCTGCAGCTTCACTCTGGCTCTGCCTGTTCCACCTTGAGGCAGCCTGCCCAAAAACACAGGGATGTCCTCCTGGGCCTGGCCTCTGAGACACAGCTCTGCTCAGAGCATGAACTCCTAGTTAGAACAGATAAAAGTCAGGACAGATTGTGGAAAAACCCTCAGATACTGGAATCAGAGAGGAACAGCTACAGGAGAGCTCCTGAACCCCAACATGCACACTCACTACTGTTATCACAGCGTTTTTGGTCCTATTCTCCTGGCTGCTGGAAGGTTTTAGGGAATTCCAAACCATGACTTGCAGGGCAGTTCTTTGAGATGATCCAGTATTGAGCTAATCAGCTTTAAAACAAAAGCAGGAATAAGCTCAGCATTCCCAAATTTCCGTGATCTAAGGGTGTACTGGCTTGAGACACAGCAGGAGAGAGGCAAAGGCTGGAGCCATCCTTGTCTACCCAAGTATTTGAAATGTTTTGTTGTAGAACATCACTTTTAGATTTCTCCTTATTGCACACATCCTGGCCTGCAGCTTCCAGCAGCAAAAACACATCAGCAGGCAGGAATACTGAGGTTCTATTTTTAAAAACTGTAAAACTGGTCACTGTGACATAAACTCACACACACACACACACACACACTTGGGAAGTGCTGGTCTTTCAAGCAAGCAAGAAGAATAATTACTGTAATGAGAGCCTGACTCACTCATCCCCACACTTTTCCTGAGCCCAAGGCAGCTATAGCTCTGGAAATTAGCTCTTGTTGTGCTGGCAGTGTGAGCAGAAATATCCCCAGCAAACCCACTGAATGGATGCACTCAGGCTGGCTGCAAGGATCACCAAGAGCCTGCTGAGCAGGAGACTTCAATCCCTCAAAGCTCAACTCTGTTTGTGGCCCAGGAAAGACTCAGCTCACCCCTGCAGGGGCAGGCTGGCCAGCCAAGCCCTGCATTCCTTCCCAGATCTACCAGGTACCAAAAGCAGGCTCCAGCTGATCCTGGGACTCCATGGAGAGCAACAACCAGCTGGGAAATAAAATGGCAGCCACTGAAGGTGATGCTGTTTGAGCTGATGGAAGGAGGATTTCT